AGTATTCTTCGGATATGACATTCATTCCATAAAGAGACATAAACATACCGGAACAACCAACAATAGGCATTGACGCTGTGAATAAATAAATTAACATGGGACAGCCTAAGGCCTTTCTTGGCGCATATTTAGTTCTCCAAACAAGAAAACAACAACAACAACAATCCGAACTAAAAAGGTAAACATTGACCTCATTTAACCCTCCCAATCAAAACAAGAAAATCCATCGTCTCCTCTTTTTCTTTCTCCTCTTTCTTCTCTCGTCTTCTTTTGTATTTCCCACGGTTCTTAAATCTTTTCGTTTTGGTCTGCCCTTGAATTACACCCGCAATCTAATTGTGACCGGCGTCGTCATTGTCGGAGAAACAAGTGGGGAAACCAGGTGAAAAAAAAAAAAACGGACACGAGTGTAGGGATGACGCTGGGTGCCGAGGTTGGTTCATCCTTGACAATTAAATCTGACAGCTCGGAGGCCCCATTTTCTCTCCTCCCCTTGCGCTCTGCACTCCCGTCTCTCAACTCGACCAGGCCAACAACCCTTGCTGACGGTTCCCGTCAGCTCCGAGCACAGATGTCGACAGACGACACCCAAGCCGACCGCCAATTACACCAGACGCTCGAATCAGCCTGTCGTCGTCGCGATGACCCCGTCACAGTGCACGGGTCACGCAAACACTCGCGCACCCACGACTACGACCACGACAATGAATATTCCTCCGACTATTCCTCCGATGTCTCCGGTCGCTTCGACGACGCAGACGAAGACTACGCCATCTCCGCACACCCGGCCAGCTCGCCCCCATCTACTAAGCGCCGTCGCTCCAACGACTGGCCCGTAGATGAATTGCAGCCGCCACCGCCACTACTGAAAGAGACTGGGTCGACTGGCTCGCGCTGGCGCTCGCCCTTTCATAGTAGGAACAATTCTAAGACCGACCATGGGTCACCGCGCACGGCTTCGGGCCGGCACGGACGTCAGGCGGGTCCCAGCGGGCGTGGCCGCCGGTCGCGGTTCGTCGAGGGGATGATGAACGATAGCGTCAGTGAGAAACCACCCAGCATCTTTCTGCGCGATGGCAAGTCGGCGAATGGACAGGAAGGTCCGACACATCGGTCATCGGGAATCTTTCGCTTCGGTAAGGCCATTGCGTCGGCGTTTAACCCGTTCGGTGGGTGGGGGAATGTTGCGGTGTGGAAGGGGTCGCAGTCTGCAGAGGCGAGCAAACAGCCCGCTGACGATGATATCGCGCGTGTCGAGAGGGCATACGCGGAGTTGAAGAAGGCTGGCTATCGGGGCGCCGTCAAGGGGCAGTATATGGCTGATGCTGGGTCGCAGTCCAGTAACAATCTCGCGGATCAGACGTGGAAGTCTATCCAGGAAACGATGGACTATAGGGCGCCGACGGGACGTCACTCGAGGCAGAATTCCGGCGAGGTTCATGAGTCGAGCAGCTCGCTGCGCAATTCGTTCCAGGAAATCCGCCGTGCGAGGTCGTCACTGGGCATTACGTCGAGTTTGATTCCTCTCGGTCGTCGATCCGAGGACGCCGAACAGCCGCAATTGCGCAAGCAAAAGTCGAAGAGAGAGAAGCTGCTGAGACGGGTGAGCACGCTGGAGGAGAAGCTTGAAAAGGCACGGCGAGAGCTGCAAGAGCTCTTGGGCGAAGATGCACCACCGGTCACGGAGAGAATGCAATGTCAGGATTCATCTCACCCCAGGAAATTCGTGCCCGGTGCACTCCCCACACTCCCCTCCGAGAGATTGCTCAACCGTCATGACCCAGTATCCCCAATCTCGCCTACATCCGACTCAGCTCCCCCGATGTCACTATCAGAGAACGTCCAACGTCCAATGCAAAGCCAGAACACTGAACCGACGACGACCACGGTCGAGCCAGAGTCCACCATCAAAACCCCAGCCAAATCCCCCAGCCAACGAACAACCGCGTCATTGACAGTCGACAGTCCATCGCTCAAGCGCAAATCGCCCGACCCCGAATCCGCCAGCGCAGCAAACACTCCCAAATCCCAAAAAGAAAGCGCAACCAACCTCACAGAGGAAGGCAACCAATCCGACTCGTCTCGCAGATCCAAACTCCCCAAGACGTTCCGAGGCGACAGTCCCGGCTCCGTCGAACGCAAACAAACCCCGCGACATCGGGATGAAACCAACACCAGACGTTCCCCGAGCGAAGAACGCGGCCGAAGGAGAAGATCCTCGCAACCACTCCGGTCACACAGCAAGCGATCCCCTTCGGCGAAGAGAAGAGCATCTAACTCTCGGAATAGGGGCGCCCCGTCGCTGCGCATGAAGAAGGGACGTGCCGATCTGAGATCCGCGAATACGCAGGTTATGGATATCGACAGTCACGATAAAGAGAATCAGCACGCAACCCTATCCCGACAGGACCAACAGCAGTCTGATTCCGTTAATCTGAATCAAACAGATCCAAGCCCTGATCCATCCCCAGCCAAGAGGAAGGACCAACGTTACACATACAACTATATCCCGCCCGTGCCTCCTTTGCCCAAGGATATAGCTGCGACAGCCGCGAAAGTGGACAAAAGGCTAGCAAAGGAGATTGGAAGGCGCGAGCGGAACCGGAAATCCAAGGCGCAGGGAAAGGCGAATGGTACCGCTGAGGATGCGTTCCGGTGGCCTGACGACATCTTCTGATGCAGTAAATGCAACCCTTTTGGAATTGGACGGACGTCATCTGGATAACAGAACAGGAAGAGACGTTGCATACATCTTCAGAAGCCTACCAGGGAGGAGGAAGAAGAAGAATGGCTAAGTGTCCTCTTTACTGCGGTACACTCAAGCCAGAGGAGAGAAGAGAAGAGTAGTTGAGAAATTTCCTATGTTAATACTCACGAATCTAACGAAGTTACGACCTTATCATTCCAATATACAACTCCTCAACTCAAACCACACATAAACTCAGTACCCACATATGTATCCTTCCCCCAGAACAAGTATACCCTCACCACCTACACCCCACACTCCATAACAAAAGATAAAAATAAAAACCTCTACAAAATAGCAGTAGCATTAGCATGCGACCCAACCCCACCCACAACATTCGCCGGCGCACTAGTCAAAAAGAACGTCCACCTCCCCAACTCCCTACACCTCTTCGCAACCGCATCCAAATCCCACATCTCCCCCAGGGGCATGCCCCAAAGCGCCAAAATATTCTGATGAATAAATCCCCCCTCCTTCTCGGGCGGCCAAGCCTCAAAAGTCGGCGAATCCCCCGCCACCCCCGCGAAATAACAATCATGCAACCAATCCAACACCTCTTCTTCCTGGTTCAGCCCCGTCCAAGTCAAATCCTCATGCGCACGAGTCGCAGCCGCGTGTCTCTCGGCTGAGGAGAGCTCGTTATAGCGTTCGACAAACCCGGACCGGATAAGTAGGATATCGCCGATTTGCACGTCGCCGCCTTGTGAGGCGGGGCGGAGATCAAGGCCTTGAGTCTTTGCGCAGGCGTGTAGATCGGCCATTGTTATTGGGTGGCGGGTGTAGGGGTCGTAAGATATGTTGTGGGTGTTTGCGTAGTGCCGGTAGTCGAGCAGGAGGGCGCGGGTGGCGATTCCGTGGGTTGCCCAGTGGTGGATGCTGCCTCGGGTTGTGCTGTTGGGACCTGGTTCGATGTCGGTTGAGGTTGTCTGTGGTTATTATTGTTAGTATGGTGTAACTATACATGGGAGTTTTGTTTTTTTTGGGGGGGGGGTTGTGGGTGTGGTGTATGTATGTACTTACTCCGTTGTAGAAGAGCTTGCTATCAATGTGGCCGAACTGGGGTTGTTTTGTTAGTTTTGGTTTTGAACTTGGTGTAGGGGTAAAGATAGGGTAGGTGAAGAGGGGAGAGATATACATGACGGAATCCATCCCACTGAGTCCCACTCTGCGTGTTCAGAGTGTAGGTATCGTCATATGCGATGTCCTTAGCTATCGTTTTGATATTATGCTGGAAGCACTCGCGACCGAAAGCCGGTGTCTCGGGGACATTGACTGGAAGACTAGGCGTATTCATTAGATTCAACTAGTTCTGTATATGAGACGAGTATAGGTACTACTCACTCCAATCGAAACATCTCGCCAGTCTTCACCTCCGCAGCTGCGGCTTTGACTCTGGCCGGAGTGAGCAGGTTCAGACGTCCTATCTACGACCTGTCAGCATGGCATATTCAAGCCAAAAAGCTAGGTTCAGAACGAAGAAACAAACCTGGTCATCCTTCCCCCACACCCAGGCCGCACCTTCCGGCGCGCCGGGGATCTTGGGGAGTTCCTTTCGAGAGGGGAACTGTGTGCAGTTGGGATCCCAGGGGAGGTTATCGGGGAGTTGGGTAGTCATGTTGATGTTTGGATTAGCACTTGTGGTGGAAGGAAGTGAAGTAGACAAATGAGCAGCTATTTTGCTGAGTCGGTTTGAGGTGTTGGCCATCTTGGAGGTCTAGTCCAACTATATACTATAGCACTGCGTTGTAAGCGAGGCGTCACTGGTCTGGATTCTGGGGATTTTGGTGGGACAGTGGATCAAAGCGGGTCTGTAAATGACTTCAGAGGAAGACGGATGGAGCAATTTTGAATAGCATTTCTGCGAAGGATGTGCCGTGGTCGTCAAAGTCTCCATCCATATCCGCAATGAGCTACTTCACCGAGGCAGTAAACTTGGAACGTCATGGCGTGGATGCGGGGAGGGACAGCATGTTGAGTAATCATAGTGCAGATCAATTCGTCCAGAGCCAGAGTAGACATAGATTGACAAATCAGACTACAGTATTTGGTCTGTCATGGAGCTCATCAGTCGGTTCCCATTTTATGGTCCATACCGAGTGAGGGGTTAAGATAGCCGAACGGCAAATGAGCAGCCGCAACGATGCAAAGCTTCTCCATCCATAGTCCCAAGTTTATAGATGCATAACTACGGTGTATGCATGGTTAATTGTACATAACAGAGGCAATTACGAACTACGAACAGAGCACACAATAATGGTAGACCCAAACGGTCTCCGTTTTTCTCGTTTTCATTCATGTCCGATCCTTGGGATCGCTTGGATTATGGTACAGGAGAAATCAAAGTCCCAAGTCGTACTCGCAGCACTCCTTCAGACGCCGAGTGTTCGAAAAAGGACCAGAAACCTCCATGAATCTGATATGCAGACATGGCAAGTGGAAACAAGCCAACCTATGCTGCCATGCCCGGAAGACAAAACATGATTATCATCAAGATATGTGATCAATGCAATGGAGGCCATGACCAACCCATGCAACATATGTAAAACGCCATAATTCGACGCCGCGTAACGAAAAACCATCCCAGCGGGTTATTCACCAATCCCCACCATAACCATAAAACATCCCAAACATGAAGATCTTGACTGTATGCCAAGCATTCGTGAGAAGATACCATCAGACGCCGGGGTAATATCAGAAACAAGCCATGGAAGGACGCATCACTTCCAGAAAAGGCAAAAGAAAGGAAATATTCAACGCTAAGCGCTTCAAGAAATACGACGGAAGATCGGAATCAGGTCGAGGATGGCCAAAGACAACACTAGTTCGGGGCAGGGACGCCAGTGGACTGAGACATATTACGGCCTCCACGCATACCACCACGGCCCCGGCCACCGTAGCCTCGACCATAGCCGCCGCCGCCACCGCGACCACGGCCATACCCTCTGCCTCTGCCACGACCCCGGTAACCGCCACGATAGCCGTCAACGCTACCTTGACCGAAGGTTTCAATGTTACGCTTCTCTTCTTCACCACGCCACTCGCGGCCACCGGCACGGGCAACAGTGCCTTCTTCACGATCCCGAGCTTCACTCGAGATATTGTCAAAGAACGAGCTGGACTTGTTGTAGGCCGCAGCATAGCTATCCGAGGGTTCGGGTTCGCCATTGGGGATTTGAGGCTCGACCTCATGAACAGGAGAGCCGGTGGCAATAGCTTCCTTGACCAAGTCCTGCTTGTTGAACTTGGCATTGGCAGTCTCGAAGTCGTAGTCCGTTTCCGGAACTTCGATCTTCTTGCCCTGGTGCTGGCCGCGGTGACCACCACCACGGCCGCCACGAGGGTGATGACCACCCCGGGGTGCACGATGCTCATAAGGCTTCATTTCAGCCATTTGCTTCGTGACACCTTCCACGGAGGCATCGCCGGGCTTCTTCTGAGCACCGGGTTGGGGCAATTTAGCCATGGCAGCTGCTACAGCAGCAGTAGCAGCACGAGTCGCTTCAGTGATCGCTGCCTGAGCCTGGCCTTGTGGGACACCAGCGGGGCCAGGAACCTGAGGAACTGGCGGCTTACCGGGGGCGGCAATGGGTATGGCAGGCTGCACACGTCCACTTCTGGGTCCAGTGGGGGGCGCCTTAGCAGTTCCAGCCGTGACTTGAGTAGGACCCGTAGCCGCCTGAAGAGCCTCCGAAACAGGTGGCTTAGACTCAACGGGCGGAGTGGGGGCATTTTGGGCTGCATTACTAGGTGCAGGCGTGCCATTACGGCTACCAGGCTTACTGGAGGGCTTATCAGAGGGCAGTTCGGATGTGTTATTAGGCATGTTCATAGGACCCGCACCGGGCATGGGCCGCGGCGGAGGGGGGGTCTGATGCTGGCCGCCAGGACCCATTGGCATCTGGGGAGGAAATTGACCAGGCTGGGGGAACCCTTGTCCGGGAGGAGGGAACCATCCTGGAGGAGCTCCATAAGGCACATTAGGAAACCCTGGGCCAGGCGGGAAACCAGGTCCTCCAAAGCGTTGTCCATAGGGAGGAGGGTAGAAGCCTCCCTGGAATTGTGGTTGCGGGTATCCAGGAGGTGGCGGCGGACGGGACATCTGAGATTGTTGTGGCGTCTGGGATTGGGGAGGAAGTCCTTGAGGGGCGGGTCCTGGACGAGACATGCTCTATTTTTACAAGGTTAGCGAAGTCCCTTGTAGTCTAAAGACGAATTTGCAAGTAAGGTACGAAGTCCATGATCTGATCAGAAGGAAGGCAACGGAAATCTCCACACGGTTTTTGCGCTGTTCGGAACAGGTCTGTGTTTACATCCGAAATAGTTCATCATAAAGATCATTTTTACCGACTGCGAAGGTCGGTGGACTTGGAGACACGAGCTACGACTATGAAAGGTATCTCTGATATTGGTGGTTCGACTTACCCCTAGAATGGCCGGATCATCTGGTACCTGTGGAGGCTCTTGGGCTGCATCTTCCTTCTTGTCCTCGGCTACACTGATGTCCTTTACATCGCTGCCACGGAACACGATGTATTCATAGATATTTGGGGCAGGTGGAAGCTCATCTGTGGGGTTGCCTCGCCGGCCCTCGGTACCGAAGGATACGACATTCTCGAGAGCTATTGTGGAGGCTTCAGGGTTGATCTCATGTAAAGTGCCCACATAGCTGCACTGGGCGGTTAGTAAGATGCACGGCCATCGTAGACGAGGATTAAGCGAGACAAGGAAGCGATGGAAACATACCGAATGTCACTCTTGGAGATCAGGTTGAACCGCTGACTGCCAGGTGTTAACTCCAGCCTAGCCGCACAAACCCTGGTTTAAGACCAGCAGGCATTGAAGACTGACCCTATAAGATGGTTCATATCCATATTGAAGGGAGAGATGCGCGTCAATCGCGCAAGAGAAAAAGGAAAGAAACGATGAGAGAAAGAGGAAAAGGGGGGAGACGGTCGTTTATAAAGGAGAGAAATTGAGAGAAGGAGGAGAAAGAAGGAAAGTGAAGGAAGAGAGAAGAAGAAGAAAAGGTGGAACTTCTGGTTTTGTGGTGGGAAAAGCTTTTCGGGATACGGCGGACAAGAGAAGCTCAGTGTGCAGTTTCTTCGTTTGGTTTGCCGGAAACAAGAAGACCAGTTGAATATCCATCAGATAACAAACTCCACTCCGCATTCTCCAACTTGAATTCCCCTCCACTTCCTCCCTGCATGCGACATTAATTTTCAGGAGATAGTCCACGTGAACCAATTAATCCTATAATTACTCTTGAATCTGTTCAATATGTCTCGTTCTTCCCATCGGGATGATTTCTTTCAAACTACGTTCGTCATACTATCCCTTCCTTCCATAGAGCTTCTTTGCCTTCTTTCTCTTGCCTCGCTCTTTCCAGTCGCTGATTTCTTCCCGGATTTCCAGGGCGGCGCTTGACGAGCAGAAACGAAAGGACGCTAAATCTAAAAATACAAATGGAGACCCCATCAGGCTACAAAGTAAGATCTTGGCAGTCGAGGCAGACCCTCTGAATTCTGGTGCCGTATTCGTGGCGCAGAGTGGTGGCACGGTCCGAAAGATTATACTCGAAGTAGGTGCACGGTGTCCTTCTTGTTGGATGCCTCGCTGGGATACGTAACTAAGCCAATCGTCATCTACCTCGGTTCACTTGTAGACGGGTGAAACTGCTGCTCTTTATAAAGGACCAACGGCCCCCATCACAAGCCTCTGCTTTAGCCCCGACGGTCGATTACTATTCGCCGGCTGCTGGGATAAATACGTCTGGTGCTGGGATGTGGCTTCGAAGGAAGTGAAACAGAAATACGAAGGTCATACTGACTTTGTAAGAGCGGTGGTCACCACCCGACTCCAAGGCAAGGATGTCCTCGTCTCTGGTGGAGCTGATGCGCAGATCTTGGTGTTCGACATTGCCAGTGGGAAGCGGCTCTCCGTCCTGAAGGGGCATGCCAAGGGTATCCAAGGACTTGTTGTAGATCCCGTCTCTTCAGACTCTGACAGCCAAGAGCTGGCTGTGTTCAGCTCTGGCAGCGATCGAGAGATTCGCCGTTTCGACATTGCCAGTGGTAGTAAAGACCTGACTGGCACAGATGCCATCCTAGTCCATGATACGAATGTGTACAAGCTCTTCTTTGACCGGGATGCCGACTTGTGGACTGCCTCTGCAGACAAAACCGCAAAATGCCTCGTGAGAGAGGATGGCTGGAAGCCAAACTTGACATTAACTCACCCAGATTTTGTCCGCGACATAGTCGTTTACGAACAGGGTGGCTGGGTTGTGACAGCATGCCGAGATGAAGAGGTTCGCGTATGGAATCGCTCGGTGAGTGTTCTCGTCCAGCCTGTGTGCTTGTCTTTACTAATAAAAGGGACAGACCGGACAACTTTACCATACCTTCTCTGGCCATTTCGAGGAGGTCACAGGACTCGTAGTCCTAGGCTCAACGCTTGTCAGCGTCAGTATCGACGCCACCATCCGTCGGTGGTCCTTGAAGCCCGAGGATCTCCAGGTCGCTATAGAAAGGGCCAAGAACACATCGGCAAATGAGGAACCAGGGCCAAATCCGGAGTCAATGCTTACGGAGGAGGAAGAGCGTGAGTTAGCTGAGCTTCTAGAAGAGGACTGATTGGGTATCTCACGAGCTCATGATACCCTATACATGATCCACTAGATAGAACCATTTTTGAAAACTTATACTATAATAACTCACGGTGATAGAAGAAAGATAATCGGGCTAACATTGGCCTATAACAATTGAATCTTAACAATAGATCTAAAGTCAATGATCATATCCATCAGACTCTTAAACTGACTCCATATCAATTGCGAAGCAAACCTTAGTAACTAGTCGCTAGTGTGCTTATATGGAATAGAAAGTAGGCCAAATCGCAAATCATTCATGGAAGATCGTGGTCTTTACACCACCCAGCTCAATATTCTCATCATTCGCCTTTGGAGGTTTATCCCAGTTCCTTTTCACTCTCGCCCTGACCCACTCCCCAGCGGATACCTGGGCCTCATCGCCTTCATCCTTTTTGAGACCCAAACGTCTCAGCAAAGGACTATCCACCGTCTTCAGATCCAGCCTATCACCCGGTCTAACAAAATACAAGACACCCAGACGATCGATATGAGCCTGATCAGGGGGCGGCGCAATCACACGATGCACGCTACTCTTCAGATACCCATTGGTCCAGAATTGCAAAGCATCCGCGATATTCACCGTGATACTATTCGGATACGGCTTCACGTATTTCCAACTGCCCTCGGGCGTCTTCACCTGCAACGCCGCAACAGGCTGTCGGAACAACAACGTCAAGCTCCCGAAATCCGTATGTCCGCGTGACCAGAGATTCTGATGCCGAGCATTCTCCTCGGCGCTGCGTGCCCGGTAGATCATGTACCGAAGGTGACAATCACTGGGTCCGTCATACGGATGGCCACGTACTAGGTAATCCTCCGGCAACTCGAGAAGGATAGCAATCAGCCGGAAGAGCTTAGTGACGATGTGGTCGTAGATGAACCGGTGAAACCGCTCGATCTCCTGGTAATGCCGTAGGATCACTTTCGGGTGTGACCGTGCGTACTGGGGGATGAACTTGAATACGTTGTATAGTTCGATGTTGTCGCGCAGGCCCGGCAGGATCTCGATGGCTCCTAGTGGTCGGTAGCCGTTGTAGTTGCCGGCTTCGAGGTCGGCGCGATGTTTCAATTTTTCGGACTCGGGAAGCTCGAAGAGTTCTTGGCCGATGGCGAATTGGCGGTCGATTTCTTCGGGAGAAAGTCCGAAGTTGGTGATGTAGAAGAACCCTGGTCTGTGTTGGTGTTTTGTAATGTATGTACCTTGGGTAATATTTACCGATGTTGTGGACAGCATCTTTTAATTGCGCTGCTAGTTTTTCTTTACCTCCTGGGATATCGAATTGGGAGAGATCGAGCGTGACCAGGTCAGCCCAGTCGACTGCGCAATTAGCATGGTAGAATTATCCCGTGGGCAGCAGAAACATACGCTCATGCTTCGTTTCAGGTACATGGACGTACCGTCTTAGGGTGGAGGAACTGGCTCCATCAGGGACACTTGGCTGGCGGGCTACTTCAGTCATGATCAAGTTAAGTATAGATCCGGTGGTCAAATGATTAACGACAGGACTGCAGGCGTCAAAGTGGCCCGGACAGCGAGGAAAGAAATCGTGGATTTATACATACAAACCTGCATAACCCCTCATCTGATATCTGCGGCTTGCTCTGGGGTGGTGGAGCACGGCAGGTATGAGAGCAGATCATAGGTCTGTTGGAACTAAGTTGACGATGGTGAAAGCATTCCCTGTGATGGCGTGAGAGGAGGAGAATAAGAGCAATCTTGCCGAGAATATACACCCCATTCTTCACATAGAGCACCCATCTCAACGCTATCCATTAACTCTTGAGAATACCTTAAAAGAATCATATTTCACCGTTTATATTCATTGTTAAAAGCATGACACTTTCACTAAACAATCCCCAATGAATGGCAATGAGTCAATGACAGGTCTGTTGTGGGAATAATACAGTAGCGTAGAGTTAAGATATAAGTAACTCAAAACACCTACAGTCTCTTTCTCTTTCTTCCTATCCCTCATACTCAATGATTATCTTCTTCCTCATCCTCAATTTGGTCATTGAAACTGGCGTGTCAGAATCACTTCCTAAGCTTGGGGAAGATCACGTTGTAATGTATGTACTAGGAGTTTAGAATCGCTCCAGTAAAAGGGTAGAGAATGCCCTAAGGGTCATTTGCACAGTGACCGGAGTCAACTTGGTATTTTCGACTATAAATGTCCACATGGGCGACATGGTAAGGATACCTCCCTCTTGAAGTGCTGCTTTTGAAAACTTAACGTATCTATATCTGCTGAAGATTCAACCTGTACATCTTCATACGAACTCAAGATCTAATGCCTGGCATTAAAATGTATAATAATGCTAATCCTAATATGGACTTTAGTCTGCCGTTAACTGCGAATACTGCTTTGGTAGCCACCCTGTGGCCTTCTGCCCTGCCTTCCACCACAAGCAGGGGTTCATGGCCGGTGTAAGTTTTCCAGTCGTCATGTACCATACGCCTTGTATTCATTGCTCTGGAAGTTTGCATACGCAAGGCTACAACTGCTGCTGCTGCTGCTGCTGCTGCCAGCCCCGCGGGGCAAAAAACGAAAGAAGGTAAATTAACTTCCGCGAGAGAGGGGTTTCTCCTTGCTAACATTATCTACCACAGGACGCTGGGTAAAAAGAAACCTAGACAAATCTGATCATTGCGGAGAGTTGGGCGGGCATCTGGCCCCCTTTCAATGCCGTACAAGGCGCGAAAGCGCAGGGCCATGAAGGCCCAAAGTAAGGAAGAGATGGAGGAGGGACTGGCCAGATTCACTTTGGAAGAGTGAGTATTTTATAGTGAAATGAAGACTCTTTAGAAGTCTATCTCGAATTATTATGTTTTGCCATCTCCTATGTACAAGATCCCTTTTCAAGTTCACAATCTTAGCCTATGGCGATTTGTCAACCTGTATGCGAACTATGTTTCCTTACCCGCTGGGCGCACACTCTGCGGGTTGTGGAACACATCGTTCGGATCGATAGCAGCCTTGATTTCTTGCAGCTTTGGCAAGTTAGGGCCCCAATACGCCTCCTGGGCATTGGGTAAGAACGGATCGACGAATCCAGGGTAGACATTTCTATCAGCTCCCGGAACCGTCTTGTTGACAAGGTTATTAATTCCGTCAAGGAAGTCGACGGTTGTCTGTGACACGCGGCCCAGGAGGTTGATTCCAAACGACTCCACATAAAACATGACATTCCGCTGGGCATACGCGGTGGCATCAACAGGGACGTCGTTAGTTGCGCCGCCCGCTATGCTGATTACCACAAACCATGTTGGGGTCCCTTTGTCAGCCGTGTCCATATAGTGGAATAGCTCCTGCATCGTCGAATTGGACGGAAGGTTATCCGTCTCGAAGGACAACGACTTCTCGTAAAAGCTTATAGGTACCCCTCCGATAATGCCAGTAGCCAATTTCTCTATATCGTGTCCAAGCATAGCGAGTGGGTCGGTGAGAACGACCACATTACCCGCATTTGAAGTAGGAAGGCGTTTGTCAAATCCCAGTTGTTCATATTCCTCTTTTGACCCGTGAAACTGTCCCAGAATGATCATCGTACCTTGCGTAATAACCATCCGCGTGTCAAACTTGCGCGTCAGGTTCTTCTGCGAGCATAATTCCTGCCAGGTCATGTACAAGTTTGCCCGCTCGGCGGAACTGCCAATGCTGAACTCGTACTTGTACTGGACAGTCTCGCGGAGCGACGGATAGGTACGCACTTTGAACTCGGTTACAATCCCAAAGCTCGCAGCCGCGCCTCTAATAGCAAAGAAGACGTCTGGGTAGGACTCCTCCGAGGCGCGGACGATAGTTGAGTTGGCCAGGACAACTTCTGCTTCCACAATATTATCCAGTGCTGAACCCCATAGGCGCGAGTATGTACCGAGCCCACCGATAGTGAAATGACCGCCAACACCTATCTCGGGGACAGCGCCATATGGCATGGCTCTTCCTCCTTCGCTGAGCTTCTGCGTCATGTCGCTGAGTTGCAGGCCCGGACCGATAGTGGCCATGTAAGTTGAGTCGTCGAGCGAGAACTGTCGGAAATGCTTCATATCAATCGCGACTTCACCGTTCACTCCCCCGAGACCTAATAACGCGCAGTTTAGTTAGCCTGAGTTCAGAGTTGGCTAGTCACAGCAGCGCACATACCGAAGTTCGCATAGCTACGACCTCCACTCTTTGCCTGGACCTTATGCTCATATTCAACGGCACATTTCACGATGTCAGCAACCTGTTCAGATGTTTTCGGGGTTGCGACGACGGCCGGGTAGACGGGCCAGTTCAAGTTGTATGGGTTAGCAGCGGACGACTCGTAAAAAGGCTGGCTTGGAAAGGCCAGAAGGGACGAGTCGTTCCCGGCGGCGGAGAGCAGGCATGCGTGAGCTGGTGAACTAGGTGCATTTCCCATTTTTGACAGAACTCTGAAGGGGATATTTCACAAAAAATAGTCAGGAACTGATGGTCAGGGGCAGGCCAATAAATAATATTCTGGTTTTTCCGAGGGACCCTACTCTCATCTCCATAGTTCTCCATGGTTTTGTTGATCCTTGTAGGACCTGGCCATAGTACCGAGTATATAAGATTTGGCTAGTAGGCCAATTAGATGCCTGAATGTAATTCTCGGGTCCATACTTAATTAACCAGATCAACTAGCAAACCCGCTAAGCGAAGAAAATGGTAGATACTAGACCCGCAGTGGACTGAGAAACTTTACTATACATGGCAGGAAATCGGAAGATCTTCAGCCACACCTGAACAACCGGGAATAGACGGCAAGCACACAGTAGACGGCAGTGCCCTAGTCGCAAGTGGTTTCGTTTTGCATGACTCGTCCGTACTTTAGCCGAAGGCAAATCACCTACAATACACATTGTCTGTCCAACTACTGTACGAACTGTGAACCCCTTTATTGATAGCTCTACTGCTGTAATTTCTATATGTACTGCCATACAAAGGTTGGTATCTCATGTACACAAGTATTTCCGTGGCTATTTAAGTCAGTAAGTGGGTGTCTGGAATAGCTAATCTAGATGTGAATTTTAACTGCATAAGTAGTGCAATCTGAGCATCTTTGAACATGTAAACAGTAACAATGCCTTAGACAATCAAGGGGCGCAATGAGGCTGGCTGAATTATCACGGCAATTCTACCTGTGGCTATATTGGTTGACATGGACTGTATAGGTATAGTAGAGCCTTTGCAACGGTAAGCGTGTTAGACGCTTAAGGATAGACATGTCGAAACCCCAGAGTAACAACCTTGGGTGGTTGTATTAGCTTCAAAAGATGTTGACTACAAGGATACTTGGAAATCCCTACTTCTTTGTCCGTACATATTACTCTTCCCTTGCAATAATAGCCTAAAGATCATTCATATGGCCTTACATTCCTCTTTTTTCCGCGCGTGGTCATCCGGTTTGAACTGGGGCATATCCTTCCATGACCGTTTAGAGTGGTGGCCATATAATCAGTAGATATTTAAAAGGTGGTCTATCATCAGACACAATATTAGACTATTAGCCGTGTCCGATAAACCTTATCATAGGGTTGTGCTGCTGCCACTGCACCAGCTCCACACCCTCGACTACCAAGACTCGGTGGAAATCTCTTCGCAGAAAATGTACCCTCTATCTCTTGCGATGAGCAGTCCGCACTGTGACAGGCTTCCTTGGCTCGCGATGAATACCAATATGTCATATCCACGACAAACGATTCCAGACACAGGCCACAGAAGAACCAGATCACTTCCCTCCAGGACTTTTAAGGTGTGGGAACGCCGGGAAAGCGTACATAGTTGAAGACGAAAATATGAATATACTGATCACTCGAAGCCATATTAGCAGACGAATATAGAAATTAGGGAAAGTGGGAGAACAAAGAGGGGCAGATGAAGGTTTATTTTTCGACCAACTGGGCCGACGAGAAAAGGCTGCTGCGAAAGAAGAGATTGTTTAGCTTACTAGAATAAATGACATACTTTGAAGGCACATCTCTTATAGCGATATCGATATTAATTTCCGTCGTAAAGTGTAACACGTATCACACAAAGAATGACCATTCTCTGATAAATAGTTTTCCGCAGAAGGCATGCAGAACCATTTTAGACTCTGCGATTATAACACAGAGGTAGCGCGACCATGACTGCGAAGACAGAAAAACGTCCAATTGTCGCCCCAGAACATCACAGAACAAGTGAACGTCACCAATCATCGAATTGTTCCTGCCATTTCCAGACTCCCTCAATGCTCAGTTATATCCATCTTTGTCAAAAGCATGCCTTTTATGCTTGCTGGTGTTGGCGCTTGGCGAACGCTATCAAAACTTCGAATTCCGTATATGAGGAAGAACAGCGTTTTCGATTTGGTCGATGGAGGATGCGCCATCTAACGCTATCTCATTAGATACCCGAAGAAATGCTAGGTGCTCAAAGCTGATACAAGTACCCAGATGGCAAGGGATTCTTACCTGGCTGTATGACACATAGCCCAGCATAATATGGCGTGTTTTATCCATTATAATGGTAATTCATCCAGCTTCTAAGCTAAGGCGAGTCTTCTATTGACGCGCCGTATTCCGCATCACCGAGCTCTGATGAAGGACTCTTCGCCTCGGAAAGAATCATTATGACCGTTAGAGTCGGCTCTAAGCACCGCGGTACTTGGCGGCCTTGAATTTCTGGTTATCCCGATGAAATAATATGCACCCTATCGACGAACGTCTTTGTGTCGGAAGGAAGAGCTGGAGCTTCATCGTCGTCTTCATGATCCCCCCGTATCGCCTCTATTGCATTCACCACGGAAACCTCAAAGAACTTTCGCGGGTCGCCCGCAAATACCCGAAGAGTTATATTGACCTCATTCATCCATCGTTCGAAGAGATCTACCAACACTATTGGGTTCATAGAAAGGTCGTCCCATCCATTTATCACTAAGACAACGGGCCGCCCAGTCTCCCTGCCACGGGCGAGGAGCTCGGTGATGGTTCTTGGCATGGGTCCAGAAGGGAATCTCCTGTTGGAAGATTGGGCGAAGATAAGGAAAAGCAGTTCCTCTGAAAGGGGGCCATAGTGCCTCACGTAGGCGTCACATGTGTACGCAAGGCTTTCTTGTAAATACTCCTGCCAACCCTCCTCTTCGTAGAGGCACGTGCAACGAAGAGAACCAGCTCGGGTCTCTCCATTCTCGCAAAAGAAAAAAACTGTAATTGGGTGAAGTATGGTCGTGTTTATTGGAATGAAAGATAGATGCGGATAGACTCGTATCACAATAGACAAGTACAACGTTGATTGAGGGAAAGTTGAAGTAGTGGTGAGGAGTAGTGTGGTCATATTACCAAGTGCAACTGGCCTGTTGGTACCCTAATACATCTCCTCTAACCAAACCAGCTCAGTATAACCTTGGGTTACTTCATTGTATGAATATGTTATTCTATAATTGGTAAGGTGTATGTGAAGCGTATATTTTCATGGCATGTTTTGAATGCCACGCACAGCCACTAGCACCTTTAGACTTTGAGCAGCAACGACTATCTCATTTCAGGAAGAGATGATGCCAATCTCTAATTCACATCTGAGGTTCTCTTTTCGTTATTTCTCATCCTTGAAATAACTGACTAAGGTGAGCTTTTACGAATAGATCCCAAAGATTACAAATACTCCGTATGTGCCGAGATATACGCTATACTTTTGTAGTTACATGGGCTTTTCCATTGACGATACACAGTCCTGAGATCCCAAGATGTCAAGACATTATTTTCACTCCGATCTGTACAATGAGTACGGTGACAATATTATAAGATGTAAGGACTAGTTGTATATTCTACAAGGGCAGAATCAAGCAAATTAAACACGAATCCAAACTTAATCCCACTGAGTCTATCTAAGGGTCGAAGGGAAGACTATAATAAATAAAGCCCTCCAAACCGCTCCGCATGCTTTTTGAGGCGTGTTATACGTTGTTTCGAGCGATATAGAGCTCGTTCTAGCCCATGGGAGCAGGCGGGCTGTGCATGTCGTCTAAGGAACCAAAATAATATCAAACCAAAAAAAATAAAACATACAACAGGAGGGATTCGCTGGTGGTCACCCACCCAACTACTAACCTCCCGGCGTGTGGCTTAAGTACGGCTGAGCGGACGGGAAGCCCTGTTCTCCACACCCTATGGTCGTATGTGCTAGGTAAGAAATTATACAATAATATATAGTGCTTACCACTTCTTACAATTTTGCACAATAAGTACAGATCTGTCAAGATCCGGAGTCTATCATGACCAGTCTAACGGACAACTTGCGTACTGTCGTAGTGTCTAGCCAAGCGCATGTTAAGGGAGCAACGCTTGAATCTTAGAGTGGTACGGGTCCGGGTTCCATGAAAGTGTGGCCTATCGATCCTTTAGTCTCGAAATTTGAGGCTAGAGGTGCCGAGGTAGTTACCACAGAAATAACTGCCCCGTGGCAGCCAAGCGTTCATAGCGACGTTGCTTTTTGATTGTTCGGTGTCGGCTTTTCCTATCATACCGAAGCATTGAATTGCTGAGTCCGACCCGAACCCGCCAAACTGGTTGAGTTTCGGGTGCGGGGTACCCGGTGCCATGGGTATCGGGTTCAGCTTGACCTACCACAAACCCAACCTACGCTGTATACAAGTCCCTCGCAGACGTATGGACCCTTATTTGAGGATCTCAGGTGATGAATCTACGGACAAATTCGTCAAGTCAGATGCCATGCCGACAGGTGGACAGGAGATGTTGAGGGTTACCCCCGAGTGACCGAATACACCACTGTACAAGATTATATATATATTTTACGGTGCAGTAGTGAAGTTATCACTGTTCATATTGATGAGTAATAAGTAAATATCTCATCGGAAGGACCCGGAAATTAGCATAACGACACCAATAGATAATAACTAAGCTCTTATTGAGAGGGAAGCAAAGCTTGAATCCCAAACTGTAAATGACTCGTTGGGGAGGTTATTCAGGCAGCCTACCTGATCCAGCTGGGTTATAGATTCTTGGTGGTGTTAGCCGCTTACATAATAGCGATAGCCTAATTACCTATTTGGGACTAGGAGAAGGTTGGTTTCTCACCCTTTGAACATATCGACTCAAAAAAGTTCCTGCAGAGTTTTATAACAACTTTTTGGGCTAGATATTGCTTCAAATAACTTGATATCAACAAGCAGCCCTTATAGCTCAGTGGTAGAGCGCATCACTCGTAGCCTGAGGCATCCAGATAACATCTAGAAGCTTCTGAAGTTGACATGATGAGGTCCGCGGTTCAAACCCGCGTGGGGGCATTACTTTTTGCATTTTGAGTGCGTTTTTGGCTGGTAATTTGTGCTAAGATGCGCTTTCCTGAAAGGCCGCACAAGGAAATATAGAATTTACTTGGAATTTCTATATTCCTACGTTCTAAGCTCTGTATCTAGAGCCTAAAGTGCCTTTTGAAACCCTGGCTCTGTTTCTCTCTTAGGGCATTTCAAGATTTTCACTCTGCCGCTCCCAGACCCCGCCTTCCTAATTAGGATACACACCGGCAGTAAATACTTCGTGTATTTATCAGACTTCTGGTTATAATTTACGGTCTATAATGGTGACCTCTTCTGAAGCTTTATACTATTGTCAAAATCGTCACTTTAAATAATTTACCTCTGCCCAATCTAACTGCTTTGCGTAAACAGATCTCAAATAGCAAATACTATATACTCCGGGCCTCCGGTTGCCCGGCATCTTCAATAGTTCCCTGTAGGGTTCTGACTCCTGTCACTAGGATTCCCGAACCGGATCAGGCCGGGCCCTTATGGGGCGGTACTAGGCGGTTAACAAGGCTAGATACCCTCAGTTCTATCACCAAGAAATGAATCCATTATATGCAGGGCCTTGCAGTTTGTTAAATCACAGATGAAAACGTATCAAGCATGCGAACATCTTGCAACTTAGGGCAAGATTCTGCCGGTACACTGCTGATTTAGGCAGGCGATTTGCCTCCAGAAGGCTTCACGTGGGCTAATATTCCGTTTTTAGTTGCTGATAAATAGGAAAATCTCAATAAATCGTGGATTATCTGACCAACTGGGTCGGAAATGGAAACATGACATGGGATATATGTATCAAGATTAAAGGCTTCGTGTAGATGCTAGGTGATCTGTTATACTGCTGTAAGTGATATGGCCACATAGACAGTCCGGTCCTGCATGGATATATTCTCGTGCAGTTTGTAATATACCGTGAAAGAAGTTTCGAATTGTGCTCCCTGCTTTTTCTGTCTATCCTGCATGGCGTTCTCTTCTCCGACTATGTTTAACCGTTATATTACTGATTGCGTGCAGCATTGCTTTTAGTAAGTGTCGACGATTTATATGGATCCACATCTCTCGACGTTTCATCAACATGTTCAGTAATCGGCTGATCAGTATGTGTCAAGGATATCTTCACGTATGTAGCATGTGTAGTAATCTTTCTGCAGGCCGAGAGATCTAACTACGTATAAATGTCCCCTTAGAGCTTGAGAACACTCAGGATAGACCAGCTGTTCTTTACTTCACTTTCGCGAGAACCTTTGCAAAACTAACACTGCCGTTCCAAAATTAATCAGCTTTATTCTGCAATCCTGACTTATACAGATCAGTGAGGGTTAAAATTATGACATATTCCAGTAAAGGGTTGATTTCCAGACATGCGGTCGTACCACTGAGTTATGAGGACTACTTGTTGATTTCGGGTTATTCTGAGGCAATATCTAGCCCCAAAAGTCGATATAAAACTCGGGAGGAACTTTTTGAGTCGATCTACCTAAGGGTGAGGTGAGAAAACCAACCTTCCCCTAGTCCCAAGTAGGTATTTTTACAGAGGCTTTATATAATATAAATCGTCGGGGTAACTAGACAGATCCGCTTACCTACACACTTTCGGAGTTATTGAAATGGTTATATATATTCTATATAATTCAAACACTAAACCACTAAAAGATCACACGATAGTAAACAATATATGTGGTTGTTGAGCTTCATCTTTAACTCTGGTTTTCATAGGAAATCGGGCGTCAGGTGGTTATCAGGTACGGTATACATGCATAGTAGCTGGGACAGGGGGGCTTACTGTGACTCGGACGCGTTTGATCCTCAACTAAGAATTCAGCTCACAGAAAGCAACCCGTGGGAGAAATTTTTGACATCGTCGATACCGACACCCTATACATTCTATAGTTTTCCAACTCAACTACAACTAGCCGTATTACCAGCAACGCATTTCCAAACTTACACCATACTGATCAACTTTCTTACGTTGTCATTAACCATCACATCTCATTGTTTTTCATCCGGGACCGAAATGCATTATCGAACAAGACTAAAGATAGATCCGAGATCTCATCAACATCCTTGCGGGTGCAACCCATTCTTTACAAACAGAATCAGCTATATCTATTCACTATCTTTTGTCTATCCACGACATTTATAATATATATAATATATATTATAGAACATATACCATGGTATCGGTCGAGGCAACCATCGCGATCGTGACACTTTTGGTAACATGCCTGCCTTCCGTCCTTGTGGTCTGGAAAATGTTTCAGCGGTCGGCGACCCGAGCCTACGACGAGTGGCAGTCATGACGGCCAGTAGAATTGATTTAATCTACATTCTGGTTTGCTATCTTAGGAAATCTGTTTCTTACTGCTGCTCTTCGAAAGACATTGAACTTGGGACCCCACCGACACTGTCGCATGACCACAATGCCCTACTGCTGCGCCTCTTCATCCTGCAACTTTTGGCCCTACAAACCCAACAAAGCTATCGATAGAACTACAAGAACGCCTACCTGACGCGTGTACCATGGTTCGTTCTCCAGCGCCTTGATACTATACCTACTTTCGCCGTCTAATTGCACATACAAGGTGTATAATTTTACCATCAATGCATATTCACGGGGGATTGGGTACAAGCACTTTGGAATTTTAGTTGTGATCAGCATACACACGGATAGATTGAGTTTCTTTAGATAGTATCTCACATTTCTGGAGTTTCTTTTTCTTGCATTACAGAGAGATCGGTTTTATGTACCAGGCATTTCACATTTTCGCATTCTCTATTTCAATATTATTTGTATCAAGGTTAATGTCTATATGGAGTTGTTAGCTGTGACAGACATATATTCCTAGGCAGTGGCTTTCGGCCACTGCCTCTATCCTTTGTACATATATTCATCCTGATTCTTTCCTTCCTCTCCTATTGAATCGATCCTGCCAGCCAAGTGCACGTCTCCTCTTAGATACCTCCACTTGCCTGGTATGTTACTTAATTACTATATCATATCACTTTGTGTCTTTCTATTATATCTTGTCGCGCTGTTCCTGGAACAGTATATAATTAATAACCTTCTTTTTAGCTAAGAATTTCTTATCTTATAAAGCTGGACCTAACTTAAGCCCTTTAGGCAGCCGACCGCTAGGCGGCAGAGTAATCGCTGCCTTGAGGCCTTGGCTGCTAAAATATATAGTATTACACGATTTCAAGAAGGTTAAGGGTCAGAAGACTAGAACAGCCTCTTCAATTCTAATAATACTAGTATATATAATTATAAAAGAGTTACTGAGCGAGAACTTGATATGGTTCTCACGTACAATGCGAGTGGCCTGCTTCAAGGCGCTGGTCGACCTTCCAAGACGCTTAACTTGAACTTCTAGGGGGTGTTGTCGAAGACTTCAGGCGAGCACGTCGGCAACATCAACTCCATGGTAGCGGCAGCACTCAGGACTTGTAGTGGTCGTGACGTAATCTACACACTGGTACTCTACATGATGCCAGGCCAAATACTCCTGCAAATCTCCACGTGTTCTCTGTCTTCCACTTCAGGACATCCGTATATGCGTGGACTTCACCCGTTACGATAGACAGATGAGGAAGGCATTGCCGAAGGGAAGTCCTTTACTATGTAATATCCTATTCACTAGAATGAACATACAAAGGATAGTAGGAGCTTATAGAGCTTCTAGGGACAACTCAGAGGCAGTGGTCTGTCATAGCCAAACGGCTCTATATGGACGTTAAACTTGATTAAATAAACAAATAATATCCTATTCATTAACTCATATATTATATAGATATATAAATTATCCCATATGGTTTACTACAGCTAACTAATTGGTACATACGACCATAGGGTGTGGAGAACAGGGCTTCCCGTCTGCTCAGCCGTACTTAAGCCAGGTGTAGAACGTGGTCAACCCCCAGAAAGCCCTTTTGCCTCTAAAGCAGCGGCGTGATGCTTTTAGTATGAGTGCTGGTGATATGGGTGAGGACGCCATTACCCCTGGTGATGATGGCCCACCGGTGGTGACGAGGGCTCCAGGGGGGTGACGAAGGCGAACTCAGCAGTCGACCGCGGAAGAAAACAGTGATTGAGCTGCATTTAATGGGCTCTGCCCTGCAGTTTGAAGAGATGCACTTGATTGTCACTGAATCCCATACACAAGTATCAATCCTCTCAGCTTCCACCCCTTTGATCGCACGTGACATCATATGACCATGGCTTCCGAGGATGCCAAACTATCTGAGCAGCGTGCCAGTAAGCTACCTTGATCAGAAGATCTGGCTATAAATATACATATATTGGATGCAGCTAGCATCATCTCCACTGCTCATGACCTACACTCACTTTTAACACTGTCAATCTATAACGGTCATCTGGCTTTCAAGAAATCCACTGTAGCCAGCGTGCTACGCGAACCTGATATTATTGATCTGTTCAGACGAGACTAACACCTGTACTCAGTCAGATTCTCCTGGACACTAATCTTATCGCGATGTCGCAACATTCTGGAATGCGCTGCTTCTTGGACAGCTTGGACACGTGGAAAACAGCGCAAATGCAATGGCTTTAGTAGACTTCGTCACTTCACCACCCAAATAGGGATGCTGAGGTCGGGGATTCGGGATGCACAGATGGTCATACATATCTTGTCTACATTATGAGCAAACTGAATCGCACCTATTCGATTCCATGCCTCGAAGCAAAACAAAGAAGGCACAGATTGATTGGAACGGTTTTGTTCACCAATGCAGTCTCTACATTGACAGTGATCTCGCAGATTAAACAAAGTAATATATCTAGTTTGTGAAACGAAACATTCAGAAGTATTTTATACTTTGATCTTTAAGTCCCAGAGAATGAAATTGCAGGAAATTAAGCTAAGAGCCAGCTGGATAGTTAGGTCCTACATCGGAGGCATTACTTCATCAGGTCATCAAATATCTAGAGATATAGACGATTCCAGATTGGCTCTACTGGAATCTCGGCGAAAAAGGTAGACAAGGGCAGCATTATTCTTATGATTGCCGTATGAGGTGCAGCATACCTTCTGGAATTTCTTAAGCATTGGTTCCAATCCCAGCCAAGAGACTTGATACTAATATCAGACTTTATTCTTGGACAACCCTGGAGTATAGTGCCTGAACTATGCAGAAAAAAATTATTAGTACCTGCCACTAATGGAGCTAACGGGAATATGTTGTCAGCTGGCCTGTTGCCTTTGCTTATTAGACCTAGATCCGATGTTTGAAGGTTTGGTTAGTATCAAACAATACTTGATTCAACGCACAGAAGATAAACTGTCGTCCATGTTATAATCATGAGCTAGTAGCTTTGTATTCTTATTTATCATGCAGTGGTCACAAACCCTCTAAAAGAAGTCTCTGTGCGAGGGCTTTGAAATATGAGTTTAAGAAGCACTCAAGATAGCAAAACCCCTGCATACTGCGCAAGACTGTATGAGAGCTGACAGCTATCGAATGTCTGATATCCCGAAGCTTTGTCAGGACACTACTAACATCACACAACACCCGGCCATTGTGAACCAGATCATCTGCTAATTGTTCCACCACTTCAAGGATCCCCATTATATCAGGCTGGCGAAATTGGATATCATCTATCATGAAGTTAAGGGTTTTCAATGTCATGGTGGTATTATGACTTCGAAACCTGTTAGCGTAGTTATGTAAATGTAAAGCAGGTGTCCCTGAACTCACATCAAGTTGGCCAGTTTTTGCGAGCAGAGTAATATTGAACTTCGTCCTAAACTATCGGCCAGAAGTGACCATCCCTTTCCATATCTTTTGCATTCGTGGAACCTAGCCCGTAGTGCTGATTTCCCAGTGTCATCCAGGGAATCCCAGTTTCTATGGTGGCTCTGCAAAATGTTATCGATGACCACAGATGAGTCACTGCGACCAACTCCCTGGAAAGCTTTGCGCTTTTTCTTCCAGGCTTTTCCAGACTCGCAGGTCTTCACATACTCATGGTGGAGCCTGATAGTCCTATAGATTCGAATTGATGACACTCATCATCTTCCCTTTCATATCTCACACAGGGGATATTGGAGTTGAATGCCAGTCGTCGACTAGTTCGACGACCAAGCGCTCCGTTGGTTTCCAGGAATAAATACAAGGCATGAGTCCTTGCAGATGTAAATAGTGCATAGAATGACTTGTCTCAATTAATGCTGCTCAGACCTGGTCCATTGGCTGAATCAGCTTGTGGCTGTGACAATTTTTAAAGTTTTAGTCTGTACTCTGTAGAATGACTAGCAGAGCTTTTCTAAGCTGCTTAGCAAATTAAGGAAATAACACTTATACCCAGTCATTGATGTGGATCCTTGAACCTTAATCCTGTTTCATCTCTTATACATCAAATACCTTTCACAGTCTATCTAGTTACATTAATCCACTTTCTATATCTTTATATTTGTCTAAGCATACACTGAGTTTATTAAGAATATTAATATTTACATTAAATTAGCCTCACTATCTGATCATTAATATATTACTTAGTGAGGTTAGGGGCTAGTGGGCTACTGACTACTTTAGTGAATATAACTTTATCTCACTTCCTATTACTGTTCTCTCACCTCTCTAAGAGCTCATAATGACACCCACTTGAACACCTAACTTTTAGGCATCAGTTCAAATACCTCTTTCTCCACCCCCATCCTGCTTCTTTCTTCCTTCTTCACCTCCCCGATCATCATCACTTCCATCATCTCGCAATCTTTGAACGTGGAATAGAGCATACTGAGTGCTGAGCTGAGGCCCCCGCAATCAACATTCGGTCTTTTCTGAAGTAATTCGAAAGAAGCTAGCACTTGGACCTCTCTATCACACTTCACCTAGCAGGGTATCCAAATATCTCAAGTTCACAATGACAGATACGATTCGCCCTGATAGTATCGCGGATTTCAATGCAGTTGGCCGCACGACAGGAACAAAAGCGGACCTGGCAGGCATGGAATTCTTGATCCACTGCCCCCCCGACCTCCCTCCAAGAAGCCGGATCGTTTCGCTTTGTGGAATTACGGACTGGGGCGATGGTGCCAGCCCCCCAAAAGATGGGTGGTTCATATCGGACTTTTACCTCTTTCACCATCTCCTACGCCCTCGTGGTAAATTCGTCTCTTTCCTTGGTGATTGCTCTCTTTTACATATGAAACTTAGCTGACTAAAAGCTCCCCAGATCCTCTATCAACTAACCAAATCTGGTTGACCTCAGAGAGCCCCGACGATTTGGTCCGAAAATATACAGAATATGCACACGGGGATCCCCACGGGGAGAGACGAGTCGTCTTAGAGACACAGTTGTTGGATGAAATCTCCTCTGCGGGGAACTTGCGTGTTGTCGCCAGAAAGGACCTCCTTGAGAGGTTTCTCAACAGCGTTCGCGAACAGGCCCTGATTGCGGAACGCCAAAGCGAACAGCTAGTTATTATGATATTCGGCCATGGAGATGCTGTGACCTCTGGGGTCCTCGTTGGCGGCGAAGGAGACTCTGAGAGCGCTCCGCGACTCTTCATGCGAAACATCAGCAGATTGCTTCCCAGCGATTTGTCAGTAACTCTGCTGATAACATCCTGCTATTCTGGAGGCTGGCTCGTCTGCCCCGATCTCTCTAGATCTTCGCGATACCTCAATGTGACCGGTATTGCCGCCGCCGGAGAGGAGAAGGAATCCCACTCCTGGCCCGTTAGCAGAAGTATAGGCCGTGCAAGCGGCAGCTTGGCCGCCTCTGCCATTCTTGCGTCCCTGGTCAAGGTTGAAGACGCGGTGTCACAAGAGTTGGAAGAAATCTCGCCACATCCAACATACATTGAATTTAGCCATTCAATATTTAAAACCATCAAGGCAATGCACTTTTTCGGAGAGGAACAGAGGATACACTTCAGCGCAGAAGACGACGAATGGGAGATGAATTACCAAAGTCGTCTTGGGCTCCCGCTGGCATCCTACAAGACTCGATGGAAGTCCCTCCGAGAGATCCCGGCAACCGCACCCTCTGAAGGGGACGCAGGGGAAGCTCTTCTTCCAAGAACAGGTAATGCACGACAGTGTGGACGGCTTCAGGTCCTTGCTCGAGAATACTTTGCTGCGAATCCCGGTCCAGACAATGCTGGGCCCAACGTAGCGTTTCACAACGCGCTCAGATTCATTCTGAGCGGGAGAACCGATTTCGCCAAAGAGGAACTCAGCAGATTGTTTGACATAGTAACATACAGGCTTGGCTCCATGCATGAAGCCGACTACCTCCGGACGCAAATGGAAATTGAGTTTCCTTCAATCTTTGACGTTGATATCTACGAATGGAAGAAAGCGAACTGGCCTGAATTCACTGCCCAAGACAGAGCGGAGAAAGAGCACATTCAATCGAAAATTCGTCGTCTCATACAGCAGAGGCGGCTCCTGACACACCCCATCGGGGGTGGCTTGTCATACACAAAGCCCGTAAACTACCTCGCGCTTGCCCTCCTTGAATCGGGGTTACCATGGGAAGAAATCGACAACAGAATAAAAAATGCCAGTCTACAGAAGGTGGCATGGTACCGTTCGGTCTACAAGGCATGGCGAGGGAAGGGTGTGGTAAAAAATGAGGCGGTCATTACCCGCCGACGGGCATTTTTGGAAACAGTTAAGAGGATGGGTTGGAAGATCACTGAGAGGAATGAGTCATGGTGAACTAGGTTTGAGCTCACTAGGCTTGATGCGTAGCGATTTCGACTGGGGCCAAAATTCGTTGGTGCCGGAGGCAGCATTCCAGTTACACTGTAGCATGGACCATGACTGAAATGTTACCCCAGGACCCAGGGTACTGACAGACAGCATGTGACCTGGTCACGTGATTATTGCTACATCCCAAATTTCAGTGCCCTCTTTGTACCTTAGCTAGTCGAGTACTACGAACAGATTGAATCATACCATCGAATATCATCTCAAGGGATACTATTCCATCGAATCTTAGATCGTTAGATTCCCTTTATCATCTGCTCCATCGAATCCGCCCATCCAAAGTCTTTTCAGTACTTTGCAGCAGTAGGAGCTGCTCTCCAAAGCAATTAATATTCAAACTCGAAAAAGCAGAGAAGGTCGGGTTACTGCGATCATATCTATCAAACTATATCTTCTCCCGTTATAATCCTAGCTCTAAATCCAACCTAACTCTAGTCTGATGCGTGCCAGCGGCCAGTCGAGGCACGTCCGTTTGCTTTATTACGGATCTCCGGTCTGGCCCTTACAGAGTAGGTCTCAAATGGCGAGTGCTGCTGAGAGAGGACACAGCAGGACAGGCGTTGGGTGGGGTCACTGGGTGCGCATTATTGATGTTCAGGCAGTTCAGGTCAGCTTCAGGTGAAGATACTGAAGGGGCTGAAGACAGGGCGGCAAGGACACTAAACCCAACGAAGCAAAAAAGCAAGAAAAACATACAACATCTAAACTCCGATGTACACTTCAGCACAAGGTAAGCAGGATCAGACAGAGTGCCGTAGAAAAAATACAGGCCGGTAGACGCAGCAAATAGATCTGTATAAGCTGGTGGCCTTTCAGATTAAAAGAAATAGCCAGGAGGAGCAGACCTCAGCTTCATAACAAACAGGGAGACTTTCGAGTGTGGATTTTCAAGTGGAGGAGGAGGAGGAGGGACAGAGCCAGCGGCTCCCTCATCTCCTTGGTTATCAGACATGTACATCTTCGGTTGACAGCCAACAGTGTGTTACAGGGCGGAGGGGAGAACCAGCTGAAGCATGAAAATTCGATAGAAGCTTCGGTCTTCCAACTGGGTGTATATGTTTCTATCGTTGCGCGGTGCGTGTATAAATTATGTAACCGCTGCCAAGCCCCCGACCTGCTGCGGGCGTTAACATGCGATTCTTTAAGCGCTACCCTATGATTGCTTAAACAGGCGACATGTAAGCTATACATAGTGCTATACATAGTACTATACTAGAAGACCCACCAAGGCGATTCGCTGGTTTCAAAGAGGAGGTTCTTGTATCCCTTGACTTGCAATAGTGAGCCGCTCGCGATACCGGATACTAAGAATAGAGGGATTATTATTTGAAGATGTTGCATGAGCCATACTGGAGCTAGATCCCTAGTTGTCCGAGATATACATATATAGAGACGATAAATTTGGGAGACCGAGATAACCATTTTTCATTAGCAGCTGAATCTGGTAAAAGGGAATTTTCTTTATCTGTCTACTGTTATACTCTAGTTTCTGTTTTGGTTCTTGTACGTTGGTGTGTTACTCTGGGCACAGGCGTTGTTACTATTCTTCGATTGAATGATATTCTCACTTGAAATATCGTGAGCGCCCGATTAGCTACCAGCTAGTATCTGTGGGGGCAATACTCCGTAGCACCAGCACCAGTTCTCCCAAACAAAAGATTTGTGTACGTAGAACGCAACAGGGTGTGGGCACGGCCATGGGGAGACAAGCCTTCCTGTCCCATGACCATAGACGTAAGTCATACCGAAAACGGGAGAGTGAGCGGCCTTACCTCTCCGATCACACCTACAAGAGATACTCGGATACGCATTAATCTGACGGACAGCTGGTCAACATTAACAGCAAAAGTGTAGCCTAGGTAGGTAGGACTAGTATATACCTTACATCGTCCGCATTTGAATGGGTTAGTGGGTTCTCAACTTGGTAGGTTTTCTCTTCGTTCCTAACTCGACAGTCTCGCGTATCATCCCTCAACGGCTCATTTATATTTGTGCAGGGCGCCATGCTAAAACCCACAAGAGACGATGTCAACGAATGACAATTTTAGTAGTTTCACTGGATGGATGGAGAATAGATTTTTTGAAGACCTTAGGTCTGCGGGCTATCAATGAAGCTACATAAGCTCGAAGCTGGATGCTCCAGACATTCCGCTGCGATATACGTGCTCGCAGGTAATTCCGAAAGAGAGAGTAGATGCTGACTTGAGAAGAATACAGGAATCAATATGTCATATTGCTGCAGCGTGATCTCGCGGGTGGCGATGAAGCACCTTGATCACCTTGCCGTGACAGGATATGAATCTATATTTACCAGGGATAGATACCTGCCACACATATCTGAAGAAGTGGATCAAGGAAGTGAGATAAGTGACCACAGCAGGATTGTTGAGGGTCTAGGACCCCCAAGGGAAAGCCTGGATGGAGGGTATAGCCGTAGGCATCGACCAGAAACTCCAGTGTTCATCCGGGACAGGTTTCGAAGCCAAAAGGCTATTGTTTTAAGCGCCGCCGTGCGCATAACATTTTGGCTTTGTTGTGGAGCCTCGAATCTGAAAATGAAAATGCTTGTCGTTTCTGATATGGTGATAATATGAAGCCGACCAGCATCTCTGGACGAAGGCGTATAAGAAGGATTTGAGGTCCACTAGAATAATTACAAAATAATGCTCTACAGAAGCAATCAATGTACTCAGTGGAGTGTTGACAATGTTTCAGATGGCCCAATTGGTCGTCGGCTGGAAGGAGGATGCGATGGAGGCCATGGGGCTGTTTTGCTAGTTTCAAAACAGCTTCTCTAGCCATAGGAAGCTAGACGCCAATATGAACTACGTAGGCCATCCTTGTGGCCAGGTGCGACGACCAGATCCTCGGTACGAGGGAGGAATTCGAGAACTAAGAAGCTTGTTTCTCAACACCATTTGCAAGCATATCAAAAGTGTCTATTCTAGATAGCCATCAGGTCATGAAAAGTGTGCTCTGTTGTTTGCCCTTATCTTCCTGAGCTTGCCTTTGAGGTTATAGAAAAGATCCAAGGAGTTAAACGCCCTAATGCTATGAGCCCTGCACGCGAGCCGCAACCCAAGATAAGATCGAATCCCATCAGGAAAATCTTGGTGTGATCGAGTCCGTGGGCGCAGGGGTATCCGAATTGCGTGTGGGACAGCGGGTGTTGCCGCTTGGGAGTGCAGGCGCATGGCAGGACATGAAGGTTACTGAAGAACGCTGGTGCTTCCCCGTGCCACCGGACATCACCGATCAGCAAGCGGCGATGGCATATATCAATCCACTGACAGCTTGGATGATGGTACGACAATACGTGCCCAGTCCACCCGCAGTGGTGGCAGTCAACGCAGCCGCGTCCGCTATCGGGCAGATGATTATTCGCCTGCTTAATCGCGCCGGTATACGGCCGATAACCCTGATTCGACGGCCTGACGGCGCAGGTAAACTCTCAGATCAGCTCGACCTGTCGGCTGTGGTCTGCACATCTGAAGTCGGATTACGGCGCAAGCTGAGTGAATTGAATGATGGACGTGGCTTGGCAGTCGCATGGGATGCAGTTGGCGGCACCGAGGGAGATGATCTTGTACGCAGTCTTGCTCCAGGCGGAACACTTGTTCATTATGGACTCCTCTCCGGTATACCCTTGTCGTACCGTTTGCATGAAGAGTGCCCGGAGGCGCGAATTGTGCTGTTTCGGCTCAGAGACTGGATCCATACGGCCGAACGCCATGAGCTGCAGCGTGCGCTGGACGATATGTTCGAGCTCGTTCGGGATGGCACTGCGGCGTCAAAGGTGGCAGCTGTGTTCCCACTTTCGGATATCCGGCAGGCGCTGGAGTGCGAGGCCACTCCGGGCCGACAGGGAAAAGTGCTGTTATCTATGTGTAATAGTATGGAGGCCACTCACTTCGACTGATGCTCGTATTATATGATCTTCTTAAAAGCTCTCTCGGCAATTTTTGCTAACTTATGATTACATATCGGAATATATGGAAGTGCCTGTTGCCTGCCTTGGGGTTCGACCTCACGTAGCTATAAGCTACATATTTTAGACAATCGGAAATACCGGCCATCCATTAGTTACAACAAGTATTCATCACCTGCCATATGAGCACCTATTAAAGTGGCTGTGGCGCCAATAAATAAGACAGCGCGTGTTTCAGCAGCACTAACAACAATTTATTCTTGTGCATTGAACTTTGTGTCCGTTGTTCTTGGTGGGAGTGCTCAGAAAGGAGGAGATATGAATTTGTAGTAGTATTGAAAATGGCTGTGTTGTTCTACATCAACCCATTAACCTATAAGGTTCCATTATAGCTATCTAGCAAGTACTCCATATAGTAGTCTACATGTTTGGAATATTAACTAGTCCGATTCCATTCCGAAGACATGTACGGCTTTTAAAACTTCTATCTTTGGGTACTGTAGCCCCGAAGTTTAGGCACTACCGCCACTAACGTTGGGTACTATGAACCCTAAAACTAGGGACTACGTATAGTATCTTAGAATATATATTACTTTACTAGCCGTGGGTTGATGTAAAACGCCAAGGTTTCGGTAAAATCCCAAGAATTGTCCGTTAGCTTGATTAGTCCGCTAGTAAAGGCGGTCATTATGGTATGTTTAGCGTGTGTTTTTGTACGGACCGCCCACTGGAACGAAAGTAATTCCCCAACCACTCCAACCTCGTCCCATCCGATGGATGCAGGGGACAAATCCACTACCGGGAATATCACTGCTGGCGGCATGGAGCATGCTTTACCCACTACTCGGAACTCGTCTCACGAATGGCCTCGGCAATCTGGTCGCATCCGTGTGACGCGTGCCTGCGACCGCTGCAAGAAGTAAGTTGCCCCTTCACCTTACACCGATGTTACTCATCTTATTGACTTGGATCGATTTCAGGAGAAAGGTTCGGTGTAATGGCCAACGGCCATGCCGTGTATGCACCGAGGCATCTGCCACTTGCTCCTACAACGCTTCCTACTCTAGAGGGCGACGGCCAGCTGTTCGATTGACCCGCTCGAGGCCTCTGGCTCAACTGACCGCGTCTCCGCTAAATCCACAGGGTAGAGATCAAGTGGCAAGTCATCCCGGAAATTCAGACACCCTTGAAGAATCACCGGGCGTTGTGTCCCAGCAGAGGGCATCGATGCCGCTGGGCGAGCCTATCTCTCGCGCTTCACCTGAGCCAGCGCAGACCGATCTGCATGGCCACTACGTAGGCCCCTCCTCCGGTATCTCATTCCTCTCCCGAGTTCAAAAGCGGTTCGAACAATCTGTATCTTTTCCTCAAAGCTTATCTGTCTTCAACTTTGGTGACGCCCCATTGCCTTACCATCATTCTGATTCCGGTACTGGCGACCCTTCACCATCGTATCTTGATCCGACATTCTGTTTGCTGCTAAACCGAGATGACACTACTCGCCTTGTTCATAGATACTTTGACTTTGCAGTCCCCGTAGATCGATTTGTGCACCGACCAACAATCGAGAAATGGGTGGACGAATTCTACGAGACCCGAGGTGTAATGCGCGATAAAGATGCTGCACCAGCACAGATAGCTGTGATTTTCATGACCTTTGCTATCGCACAGGAACATACAAGCCCGAAATTGTCCGCAGTAGAAGCCGACACGAGGTCTGTTTATCTACATTGTTTCGAGCATCACCTGCCCAGCGATCTTAAATGATGCTAAGAAACACTTCAGTGTTCGATACTTCCGGGCAGCGAACCAGCAACTGGCCAAAGAGCAGGGCCCCGTGCGACTCGCAAGTGTCCAAGCTCGCCTTTGTCAATGTCTTTGGCTTCTATCACAGTCTCGCATCAACCACTGCTGGAGTCTATTTGGGACAGTCGCTCGGCTGATTTTCGCCCTCGGTCTGCATCGCAATCGACATGCCAGTTCTAGCTCCATGACTCGGCTCGAAATTGAGTGCCGTCGGCGGACTTTTTGGAGTGCTTATTGTCTCGACAACTACATAAGCACGGCGCTTGGGAGGCCGAGGACGTTTAACGACAAGGATATTGACCAGGAGCTTCCTTCTTGTGTGGAGGATGAAGAGGTCCAGGACAGAATTGATGTAACTGCTTCGTATGGGGGCCAAGGGCTATCGACCATGTTTGGCCCGGTTAGCTACGCAAAGTACATCCTACCAGGAATGTAACCTCTTCCCCCAAAACTGACACGAGATTCACATAGGTTATCTCGAATATTGAGTGGTGTCTTGAGTGACATCTACGCTATTCAATCTATGTCTATCACCGAACGATTGTCTCACACAGCGAAGTATATGAGGGAGTTGAAATCATGGCGCAAAGAGATGGCCGGCTTCCTCGACCAACCTAGTTCAAACGCTGCCCCATTAGTTCTAATCTATCAGCGACAGAGGAATGTCCTTAATCTTGCATACTGGCATACGGTGATTCTAACTAATCGTCCGCTCTTGCTTACAAATTTCGCGCGGTTGACGAACAACACACGGAGGTTGCCGCGGGAGCAGAATGAACGAAGGGGACATATTGATGAAAGCATCACTGAGTGTCTCCGTGCTGCAATGGAGATTGTTACTGTCGTGGATACGATGATCCAAGCCAAGCAACTTTTCCGGTCTTTCTGGGTAAGAATTCTAGCAATGCCCCGAGAGCTTGCTAACATCAGGGTTCATAGTTCACTCCTTACTTTGCCTTCTCCGCTTCTGTGATCCTGTACGTCTACACTATACAACACAGCAAGGAGCCAGGCGATGTATACCGGCCGTTCTTCGCAGCTGCAGAGCGTTGCAAGCAGCAGATTATGAACATTGCCGAAGAGGGATCGTTAACTTATAGGTATTGTCTGGTTTTAGAAGAGTTGCATGCAGAGGCTGTGCGGCAAATGACCCCAGTCCAGCCTTCTGTGGGCCAACCAACGCAAACCCACTATGCAATGGAGATGGGGAGTGAGGGTATGGAAGCCCTTACTTCGAATGTCGGGGATTTGACCGCGGAATTTGCTATGGGAGCGCCAAGCCTGGTTGGCATGGACCCGCTGGATGATTTTCATGTCAGTCCCAGTGCTTCTTTGGAAGATTTGACCGGATGGGATCAATTTGAGTCAATGGTAAATGCTCACGAAATCGATAAGATATTCTGGTATTAATCGGCTAATTGAGACTACCGGCAGGTTGTATCCGGCTTCAACAGTCTCTACCACTTGTAACTAGCAATATCATCGACATACCCGCCGTTTTCTGAAGGATACCCACTCGGTGGTGTATGATAATAGTATCAGTTTTCCTATGAGATTATTGTCATCTGCCTCTTGATAGGCAAGTGTACCCTATTGAGGGATTTTTCAGAGCAGTAATAAATATCTGGCCTTTTTTCCCCTCTTTTTTTTTTTTTTTTTTTTTTGGTTCTTTGGTCCGTAGTGCAATAACCAGTTTGACCCGTCGGATAATTCTGGCCAATAAATTTTAAGAATACATACCCATTGGCGGAAAACACGCGTGAAGGCACTTTTCCGAGATCCCCCAGGAAGCGTTGCAGAACAGCGCAATGTTCACCATGGAAACTCGAGGCAGTTGCTCAAGAATTTGGTAAAAAAATTATTGTTTATGGTAATCACACAGACAATGTCACTTCAGGGCAAAGTGTATGCTGTTACAGGCGGTGCGAGTGGCATCGGCTTTGCAACAGCCAAACTCATCTCGGAACGCGGGGGAACAGTCTGTATTGCCGACGTTAGCGCAGATGGCCTCAGCAAAGTTGAATCATATTTCTCTCCCAAAACTCCCTCTGTTGAGTTCATGATCACACAAGTCGATGTTTCGAACAAACAACAGGTTGAAAATTGGATTGCCGACATTAAGACGAAATACCATCGACTTGATGGGGCAGCCAACATTGCCGGCGTCATCGGAAAAGACCATGGGATCAAATCGGTGGCAGAGCTGGATGATGATGAATGGAGCAAAATAATCAGTGTGAATTTGACAGGAACGATGCATTGCCTCCGGGCAGAGCTCAACAACATTGTGGATGGAGGCTCAATCGTCAACATGGCGTCCATCCATGCCACCACCGGTGAGTTCTTCTCCCTCTTAATGACTGGGACTCTTTCTGAAAAGAACTAGGCGTGGCAAACCACGGTGCGTACGCAGCGAGCAAACATGGTGTTTTGGGCCTTACTCGAGTTGCTGCAAAGGAGAATGGCCATAGGGAAGTCCGGGTTAACGCCGTTGCCCCAGGACCTATCTACACTCCAATGATGCAAGGGTTTTGGGATCGAGTTGAACGGCCATCTGATGCGCCCTTTGATGATCCCATCGCTTTTAAACGGCAAGGGACCCCCGAGGAGGTGGCAACTGTGGTTGTATTTTTGCTGGGACCGGAAAGCTCTTTCGTGAGCGGAAGTTGTTACCCGGTTGATGGAGCTTGGGTGTGAATAGACTGCGCTGCTCGGCGCAATGTTTTAAAATATCGTGTTTCGTCGGGTAGAATCTTCCTACGTTATTGAAACAGGATCACCTTGAGCTCAGACTCCGATATTATATATTGGTTGGTATATAGTAGTACTACTATCAATCAAATATCCAAGCCTCGACATAAGAGGATCGCAATTGGACATCTATTGTAGGTTCTTAAATTTACTAATAACATGTCTCTATCCGGCGCATTGTCGCCTTACCACTCTCGAAGCTCCCCACAAGGACCGCGGAACTCAGGAATTGGCCAAGCTTTTGTATCCTGAGATAGCTGCCTGACCTCAGCTTCGTTGATTTCAATCCCCAAGCCCGGACCAGATAAGACATCAATATGACCATCCCGCACAGTCCAAACTTCAGGATTCGTGATATAGTTCGTGATGTCTTGTCCAGTGTTGTTGTAGTGCATGCCTATGCCCATCTCCTGGATGGCAAAATTCGCTATTGT